ACAAAATATAAGAGAAAATTAAAAAAAGAGAATAATTGTATGTAAAAAACGTCCATGACACATGTCATTCTGAGAATTGGTGAATGACTTCTATTTTAGTAAATAAAAGATTACTATTATGAAAGTTGTGTTTCAATCCAATTGGTTTGCTTATTTGGTTTTTTAAATAATTTTACCAAAAATCTATTCATTTTCCCCATGAATTTAGTGAAATTTGTTTGTTTCGTATAGTTGTGTCAAATTATTTGTTCAACACCTCTTTTTATAAATTATAATTACTGAACTGCTTTGTCATCGATCCACAACATACTTTACAATGATATTATAAACCGTTAGATCAATAATCAACAATCAGTATGTACCGTCTGATATGTTTTTACCATCTCTCATCACCAAATAAAATCCCTAAAGTCTTGGGGTCTTGCATTTTCTCTTGACAAAGTCAAGTCTAATTTGTTAACTGAGAGCAGGTACATCGGCGGTTGTTAAGCGTTTTTAACTAAGTACTCTATGCCCGGGTTTGTTGTTTATAGATTTGTTAATTATTTTGGTACGAAAAAAATTGTATCATAATAGTGTTTGTTATTTTGTGGATTCAGAAAAATTTAGATATTTATAAAATAAAAAATAGATAAAATGGTAACTTAACATCTTCCACTTAAGTGTTAAGTGTTTGAGTTGTTTAAAATTCAAAAAAAAAAAAATCATGTGAAATATATATACAACAAAAGTACACAATTTAGTTTTTGGCGAATATATTTGTTGTGATCCTTTAGCTCATTTCTTAGTAATAAATTTAAAACTATTTTTCTATAATTATTTCTATATGGTTATGCATATATTTTTGTCTAAAAGCTCTCTCATTCATCGATTATTTATAATATGATAATACCAAAATGTTAATTTTTTTTATTTAAACACAAGACCGCTAAAAATTAAATGTTCTTATTTTTCATTTACTTATGTTTTTCCTTTTTATATATTATTTTATCTTTGTGTCATTGAACTAAATGATTAACAGTTTTTGTTGATACCAATTTAAAATATTCCCGGAAAAAATTTCACGGGAAGAAATAAAACTTTTTGAAACTTCTTCTCCATTGCATCAGATGATACTCTCCATTATACCTTGGTAAATAATAATTTTTAATTGTTTATTGATAAATTGGAATATAGTGAAAATTTAACAAATACTAAAAGCAACAGATATAATGGTTCTTACATGTTGGCTTATATGTCTTGTGAAGACCAAACGTCTCTGCTAATTCCTCTTTTACTCTATGTGAGTCTCGTCTTCATCTTTAACAAAGTTGCTTATTTCTCTATATCCTTAACTTTGCGCAAGATATCTAAAAAATGAGAATCAATATTAGTAACCATCTTCGAAAGGAAACTTTTGAAAGGGAACTACTACATTTAATTCCAAATTGTGATCACATTTTTTCTCTATTGGTCAACAACTTCTACACTCCTAGTGAAACGAACCATTTAAAAAAATCTTAAAAATATGACGAATAAAAGATTTTGTGTTTATACTATTGTCAATCATTTTGTGTTTATAATTGGAAATTGTCTTTTTTTTTCAGTTTAACCCACAAAATTATATTTGTTCAGCTAGCGAACTACGCATTGTGTTTTTTTTAATTAGTGCTGATGTTATTTTTTTATGTAAGTTAAATATTGTAGTGGTTAATAATATAAGCATTAATATAAATCTTGTACTTTTCTTTAACTAATGTGTATGTTTTTAATGTTATTCATTCTATGAAATACATTATATTAATGGTTATTGAATCTTATTAAACGGGCTTTTTTTTTTAATGCATTTCCGCTATTTGGATAAGAAAAAGAAAATATATGCATGTCAAAGAAAAATCTTGATAATTGATCATTGAAATATAATGATTAGCAATGTTATTTACAAACTCATAATTCGAACTAATAGCTAGAAGACATTTTGGTGTGTACTCACATAAGCAACAAAAAGTATCTAGATGGAAGGAAACAAAAATGTCTTACCTGATTTGATAATTCTATTTTGTCAGTTATGTTCAATCAGTTTGAGTCTGATCAAGATCTAACATGGAAGCAAAGGTACACAAACTGAAAATGATAGAGACAATGGAGAGTAAATCCTCTTAATTGCGTAATATATGTTTGTTTACATTCTTTGGAAATCTTTTCCGACTTTTTTAAAAAAATTTTGTTTAATTTTAACCACAATTTTTTTGTTCGTCATTGCTCCTTTGTCTCACTTTAACTCATATTTCCCGTCTTCTTTATTGTCACCCTTATCCAAAATAAATGTTTTTGGAAAACACTTAAACCACTTTTATGTAGAAATTGTAGAAACTCTAGAGTTTTGTTAAAAGATTTGCATTTTATTATAGTCGCCCATTCTATTCCACAATGTGAGGAAGAATGTGTAGAGCGAGAAGACTCTAGTGAGTTTTTTATCCTCGGTATGTTTTCAAAAATCATAGCATAACCAATCCACAATAAGCAAAATAATATTTTCATTTGCATATACTTCACCTTTAATTCATGCATGGTGGAATAATATTCGAGATTTCAAAACAAAAATCCAATATATTACGAAAACAGGACTCAATCGAGAGTTTACCTAAACGAATCTATTAATTTTTAGTTGTAAATTACACTTTCAAGCTTCAAGTATGACTAAACAACCTACTTTTCAACTTTGTTAACAAAGTACCACATTTCGGAGACAAAGCATCCAGCAGTACCTACTAAAAAACAGAT